GATCAGGACAAATACTTTTCATTTGTTCGTCAGTGAAAACCGTCCGATGTTGTCATGTCACCAACGTCCAGCAGGGGGGGGGACTCACTTGAAGTGCTGGTGTTCTCTGGAGCTGCGGATCTTGGCGGAGTAGCGCTCGGCCAGTTTGTCCAGGCCTCTGGAGTACTCCAGCTGGAGCTCCGCTTTACGGCGAAAGAACTCCTGCAAGTCCTGCAGCAGCTGGAGGCGGGAGTCGGACTGCTGCTCCAGACAACGGAACTGCTCCACCAGCTGGTTACGGATCTCTGCATAACAAACAGGGAGAGGACATTCAGAACACACAGAGACCCTCGGGGGGTGGGGGGGGGGAGTGGGCTGACACGCTGGGCCTCACTTCCGCCCCGACAAACAGAGTCCTGATCAGTTTTCAGACCTCGGCCTGTGAGCTGAGACTCAGACTCAGAAACTTTAACGACAAATTATTAACCACAAAATCAGACAGAGGGGACGCGGGGTCTCATTCTGGGAGCGGGTGGGGGGGTCGGAGTTTGAATGCTGTGTCACACGTACACATGAGATGAAAGCCCGATGATTGCAGCAGACAGTTCGGAAAAAAAAAAGAACCATAAAATAGGTCAGCTTCTCAAACTGCGTTGTGCTGAGCTAGCCTTCAGAGACGTCGGAGGGGAGGACGATCGCAGGCATTCTTTGGAAAATGAGATTATTTGGGTTTTTCTGTTTATGAGTCTCCGAAAAACTCACGTCACGGCAGAGACAGTGAAAAAAAAATAGTTTAGTAATCATTTCCAAATTTGGAATGTGGTATTTGAACGCAAACAGAGAGAAAGTAGTCGGGGAATCGGACAGAAGAAGAGTCGGAACACGATCACGTTTGACATTCGTGTTTACTGACATCGTTGTCGCACAATAATGATAGGGGTTTGTTTGAGCAAGAATCTGGTGATCGTGATACATATCGTGAATAGTTTAGTAATCATTTCCATTTAGTTTCCCCCCCCCAGTGTGATCCTAGTCTCAGACTCTGTTCCATCTGAACATCAGTTCCTAACTCTGGAACAGAGGGATCTACATTTGGAATCACTAGAGAAGAAAGAAAAGAACAAGAACATGAACCAACACCAGGAATATTGGACTGGGAGTTGGTGAAGAAAAAAAACAATTAATTATTTTAAAAAAACACAATATATTTGGTTCATGTGATCAGGTTGATTACAAACTCTAACACCAGAGCCAAGGGTCAAGAGGTCGAGAGGTCGAGGGGTCAAACGTGGCTGAACTCCACTGTACGTTAATGCTCGTTTCAGTTACGTATCACGTGCAAAATTACATAAAAATATGTGTGTCTAACACTGCAAACGACGTCTTCTGAAACAAAGCCTCCCTCTGTAGGACAAAGGGGCAAATACAAAAGGCTGAGTATTTACACGGGGCACTTGATTTCCCAGCAGTGGCAGAAAAACTGGGTGGACACAGATGAGTGTTTGAAGTGACGCAGTCCAGGAGAAGAGACGTCCGTTTGTCCACTGTTGGACAACGCCTCCTCCACCATCCGTGAGCGTATGAATGAAAGAGCGTGAATGAGGACGAGGGAGTGAACGTGTGGTCCCCGGTGATTGGACAGAAACCCCTTGTGGTCCCCCATAGTTGCCCCGTTGCCTGGTTACGTGCCACTGGAAGCATCTGAATGGGAAGTGTCCAGTTCTGTGTCCTGACAGCAGTCGCTCTGTCCAACATAATGGACAAAGACAAGGGCAACTTTCTGTGAGGGAAACACGCAGTAGAGGAGCCAGGCGAGCACGTCAGCCGTGGAGCGCCACATAGAGGACACGGGATGAACTGCTGCTTTAACACAGACCCGCGCCATTTGCGACAAAGATAATAATCGTTATGGTGCGGCGGAGGGGGGGGCAGGAGTTATATGGAGCGATTCTAAATGAAGTCAAATGAAGCTGCAAGTGCGTTATTTTTAACTTCAACTCTTACTACAGACGGTGCAACACTGCAGTGGAGTCACTGGCTGCAGATGGATGAAAGGAGGGGAGGGGGGGGAGGAGGAGGAGGAGGAGGAGGAAGCTGGCGAGGAGTGAATAAAACAGGAATACGTCTCCCAGGAGTCCAGCTTCTCCTCTGTGAATAAAACGAGTCACGATGTTCGACCTCTGACCTGAAACCCACTGGAAATGTACGGACGATCCCAAAACCAAAGACCCGAAGAAGTCAGAGCAAAATCAAACCATAAAATCAAAGAAGATTATTTACATCATACTTTATAAGCAGTATTTGTGTACCAGAACCTGCAGAAACCCCAGAACCTCCAGAACTTCCAGAACCTCCAGAACCCCTTGAACCACCATAACTTCCAGAACCTTCAGAACCGCCAGAACCTTCAGAACCGAGCAAAATCAAACCATAAAATCAAAGAACATCATACATCATACTTTATAAGCAGTATTTGGGTATTTCCGTACATTTCGTACACATTTTAAAATCAGAATCAAATACAGTAATGACTTCATACATTTGAGTTCTTTTCTCCATAGAATATTCTGTTCTATTCTATTTGTGAAACAACTGCAGATGTAGAGAAGAATCTAAGGAGGAGGCGTGTGATTGACAGCTGGACCGTCACAATCACACACCGACCTCATGACCTCACAACCTTGACGTTTACCAACCGTCACCGTGCTGCAACGGACTGACCGACCACCAGGGACAGAAGTGCAGAGAACCTCCAGAACTTCCAGAACCCCCAGGACCGCCAGAACTTCCAGAACCTTCAGAACCTCCAGAACCTTCAGAACCACCAGAACTTCCAAAAGTGACCATTCAAACTGCAACCACAGCACCTCCTGCTGGGCTGAGGTCAGATCAGACGACGATCAGATCGAATCCACGAACCCGTTATTGGAACTCAGCTGCTGCTGCTGCTGCTGCTGCTGCTGCTGTTTCCTGCAGCCAATGATGGAATATTTCCTGAACACTCACTGATCCCAGGAGACTTTCTCTCAGACAACTCTCCAGAGACGTGCAGTAGAGTTCAGAGCAGGAGCTAAATAAACACGACATCATCTACTGACAGGTTCTACTGAGCCCAGTCAAGAATCAAGTGACGTGGAACCAGTCAATCGAAACTGTAACTGTACGGCTGTGGAGAAACGGTTGTTTGATCTGACGGACGTCAGTTAATCACAAACCTTTGTCTAACAACGTTTATCGACTTTTCATCTTCAGCCAACTGTGGTTGTCAGTTTGGATCAACGGCAATTTATGAAAATGTCTTTATGACAAAATGCACTCAGTAACAAACAAGGTCAGAGTGAAAAGGAAGTAGGTGAAGAAAGGAGGAAGAGAGGCCGGGACTCGAACCGCACGCGCTAACCACCGCGTTGCAAAAAGTTCCCTGTAAATGCAGTAAGTGAGAGAGTGCCCCCCCCACCCCCCACCCCCGCAGACACACAATGACAAACATGTCCAACCATCAAGTTCAGACAAACCCTGCTCACGGTGACTGTGGTCGACTCAGAACAATGGGAGGTGAGGTTTGTTTTGCCTCGCAGCGTTGCTAACGAGGCCGCCGCCGCCTCACTGCAGCAGCCATCACCTGATATCACACACACCGGAGTGCCGAGCCGCCGCAACAAAAGCAGCCCGGTGACACGTTAGCGTATCGCAGCGGTCTCCTGGGCTGCGTCTGCCGTTAGCCCAGCCCGACTAGCCACATGTGACCTAGCCCACAGTGACACAAATCAAGGCGTTGTAGCTCCGAGCTCTTCATACTGTCACTCACTCTCAGTGTTTTTATCTTTCTGTGCGGATATGTTCCACCCCCCAATGAATCACTGTTTGTCATCTTTTTTTTTTCTTTTTTTTTTTTTAATCTCATTATTCTCAGCTGTGGAAATGAACCTGTCAGCACAAATCCACGCTACGCCTCACACATGTAACCAGGATATGGGTGAGATACGGTTTCACTGTTGCAGCGTAACCCTGACAAACCAGGCCAGTTTCAATGGAGGCATTCTTTCATTCTGATGAACACTCACAGCAGGGGTGTGTCCGCCGGCAGCACAGGAGCCGCGACGACGCGGACACACAATCGTCAGCTAATCTGCCTCAAGTGTGTGTCACAAACCAAGAGGAATTGAGATATTTGTGATTCATCTGTCACGACTGTCTGTAGTTCATGATTAACTACGAATGAATAACATGTTTAAGAACGAGAGGTGTAAAAAAAAATTGTCCGTACTCTTCAGGACGTTTTTAAAAAAGGACCAATTCTCTGGTGATGCTTCACTTCATTTTTGTTTTCTTACTACCACCTCTACTATAGTATCACATATCGCAATATATCGTATCGTGATAGGTATCGTATCGCCAGATTCTTGCCAATACCCCACTAAAAACACTTACGAACACAGATGTTATGAACGTTGACAACTGTGTTAGCTTCATGCTAACGCCCGTTCTGTATTTTTCTAACAATCCAAAACGAGGACAAATATGAAGCTGAATGAGTCACTGCACATTTAAAGAAAATATCGTAACATGCTAAGGTATGGGGGGGGAGGGGGTTCCCAGTGTGTTGTTGCTAACTGTTAGAGACGTTGTACGCGTTAGCACAGTAGCACAGTTAATTTCTTGTCTGTTATTTTGTTTTCTAGCTTTAGTAACAAACTAAATAACAAAGCTGTATGTTTTTATTTTTTATTTTATCAAATATTAAAATTAAGGTTTAAAGGATCATTTCATTATTTTACTTTGGTCCAAACATTTCTAAACGGCGACAGAAATCAAAGAAATTACACATGTTAGTCACAAAAACCAACGGGGTCAAAACTAACGTGCGTCGACTCATTATAACTGCTTCAACTTAACCTTATGTTAGCCTGTGTTATTTGATGACGCCTCTAAGGCTCATGGGGGATTCTTCTGTCAACAATAAATCATGCACGAGCCAATTAAAAGTACGGCCGTGAAAAACGGTCCGTTAGCGCCGAACACGTCAACAAACTGTTAAAAGAAGGCATGTTGAAAACTACTGTGAAGTGCATTAGCGTTTGTATCTGATCATCAGTGTCGCCGACTCAGCATTATCGGATTCCGGTGCCAGAGAAAAACCCCTAAAGCTCCAACCTGATCTCAGGCCAGTTTTGCAAATGAGCTTACAATGTCAGCCTAAAAGCTTTTCCTGAAACCGAGACCAGAGGTGGGGGCTGTGATGGCGTCGTACCAGAGAGAGAGAGAGCGAGAGAGAGAGAGAGACCTTAACGTTAACAGTCCACCAAACTTCCATCAGCAACATTGTAGCTAATTGTAGTTTTCCATCTGGAAATAAAGTGACACGTTACTGACAGTAAAACTGGAGTCTGGAATAAGATCATCTGAAATGTAGGTCAATTCCATCAAAACGTGTAGTAATCAGTCAAATACTTACATTAAAGTAAAAGTACACACTAATGTACACACTGTACGACATACTACAGGGAAAAGTACTATCGTATTTTCCAGACTATAACGCCGCCTTTTTTTTTGTCATCCTTTCGCTGGGTTTGCGAATGATTTTAATGATTAATAATTATATTATTTATTTGGACATTTAAGAATAATAAAACTGATGTGGTCGTCCAGTGGAACGACGGTGGCAGCAGAGGTCATCTCAGTTTGAGACCCCTGACCCCTGCTGCAGTACCTGCCGTCGCCTGTGTGGTTTGTTATTTATCAGTAAACCGTCGTAGTCAGAACTAAACAGCATTCCTGGAACTGTTTCTTCACCAAATCCTGTTTTGTCCCTTTAAGAGGAAAAAAAACACTGAGTTCAGTGGTAACCAAATGTGGTTTTACTTATAAAACTAACCAATAAACAAGTGGTTTGTACGCCATAAAAACACGCCAACGAGTTAACAGCAGTTTGAAAAACTGAAATGTCTTCAGTCGACACCGACACTTTCCCTGATTGAGCAAATACTGACAGAGTTTACGGTCTTTGAACGCAACGTACGGACTTTTGATTTTGCTTAAAATTCTAAAATGTCTTCTCTTCAGGCTGTAGACAGTGTTTACAATAAAAAATAGAAAAAAATATAATAGAGAATTTTCCAGTCAGACGTGTTGAATAGAACTTTTCATTCAGATTTAAATTTATGTTAATCCTACTTCGGTCATCTACGACTTTATGTACAGTAACCATAAAACCTAACCATCCAAGTACTTAGTACGTAGTCAATCTTCTTGCTTTCCAGCTACAGCTAACAGCTAGCAGCTACAGCTAATATCTGTCTACAGAGAAATACAACATTAAAATGTCATTTGTTGTCAACTAGGTCGGAAATAGTTAGCCATAGCTAGTTAGACATGTACCAGTCTGAAACCAACATGCTAACAGGGCAACAAGAGTTTAAGTTCATTGTTCATTGCCCCCCCCCCCCCCCCCCCCTCCCCCCCCCCCAC